TCCTGCAGGCACCTCAGCCTGCTCCCCATGGTGCGTGCAGCAGCATATCCCCAGGGCTGTGCTGGAGCAGAGGTTTGTGTGGCCTGAGCTCAACACTGCCTAGTTTGTGCTTGTTTTCGAGCCCCAGCTGCTCATCTTCGGATGCTTCTGGGACCAGGATGCTTGAGTAGGCTGGCTGTGTTTTGGCACATAGCAGAGGGGGTCCCCCGCCTCCTTGCCGGTGCACTGAGCACAAAAGGCACCTCAGATGTGTTTCTCAATACCTGCCACAACGGGAAGTGCCCCATTCACTTCGGGGTTCCCCAGGGAGCCAGAGGAAGGGAAGCCAGGGCTCTATTGGAGGAAGCCACACATCCAACACCTTGCAAAAGTATCTGCAGGAGTCTCTGTTTTCCACACACCCCCTCAAATAAAACAGGGCCATCCCACGCATACCCGCACAGCCTGCAAACCTCTGCCTCGCTGAACCATCCAGCCTCCACCGCTGGGGCTTGATAGGAACAGTCTGGATAGAAAGTCAGCACAGCCCACGCTTTCGGCCCAGCCACGGGGAGGGGCAGAGGTTAACCACGTGCGTGAAGCTTTCAGCTCTACCGACTTCCTTCTCCCAGGCAGGGGAAGCCTTCCAAAAGACGTCAAGCGGAGGAGAAAACAGCTGGGAGAGGAGAGCTGGCAAGGCACAGTTTGCCCCATAGCAGTGCCAGGGAGGTTGCTCCCTCCCCAAGATGAAATGAGGCTTTAAAGCTCTGCTAGATGCCAGATGGTACCCGGAGGAAGTGTCTTCCATCAGCATCTTTGCACTAAAACTCATGGATATTAATCTCCCCTAGGGTACTGTGGATTTCTTCCATGCCCAGACCCCAAGTCTGGCTCCATCTTGTCCTGGTTGCACCATTCCCTTTGAAGTCAGTGCTGCTGGCAAATGCCAAAATAAAGCCAGATGCCCATCACTGCACATCTCCAGCTGAGAGAGCCTGGACCCATCAAGGTCCAAGCAGAGAGCTGTTGTCTTGTCACCATCTGGTAAAGACAGAGGAGGGCTCAAGTGGGTGCCAAAAGTGCCCCTCTTCCTCTTTGGCACCTCAGTGTCTTTGGCTCCTAGCTGCAGCACTGCATCGGTGCAGCAATGGAGCCTGGTGCAGCTTTGGTACATGTCCAGTGCCAGCATCACTGCCTAGCTTGAAACCTGTGAACTCTCCTTCCAGAGAAAATGAAGCACAAAAAAAGTGCTAATGCCAAGGAACCTGTGTTGCTCTGCCAACCAACAGCTTAAAACAGGATTTTATGCCAGATTCTGGGTTTGGTGACCACAACCCTCTCCTGGCTGCTCCTCCTGACTTTGGTCCCCTGCTCTGAGAAGCAGGTGCTTGATTTACACTCCTGTGACTTACAGAAGTGATTTCCACATTATGCCACCTCTTTCCACTCCAGTGAAATCTGGGGTGGAGGGCTGCAGCCTTTGGGGGAGCTCAACCACAGCAGTGGAAGGGGCTGTCAGATTGAGAGTGACTGCTCAGTGTCGAAGTGAGGAACCCAGCTTTAATTCCTCCTGTGGGAGCTTTCCTAACAGCCTCACATGGAAGTGCCACAAGGTGTCATTATGTTTCGGAGTTATCAGCCAGGTGAGATCTGCAGGGGCATCCATACCTCAACACAAGTACTTAGAGCAGGAAAGAAAAAGGAGAAAAGACTTACTGAAGATGCTTGAGACACCTGTGTTAACAGCTCTCATCTCCTGTACCTGGAGGAGCCAAATGGCTTTTCTCCTGCAGAGCTGCACCTTGGGTGCATCATCCAAGTTATGGGGAGAGCCGCCTGGAGCTACTTGCACTCACTGACGGGTCCTGCCTTGCTCCTCTTCCAGCATGGCTTGTCTCGGGGGTGGGATCACAATGCTGGAACGCGGTTTTGGAAAGCCAGGCTCAGCTGCCATCCTTTGGGTGGAGAGGTTCTACTTCTCCATCCACCTACCTGCCAGCGTCCCCAAACCACATAGGAGCTGCATGCCTCCAAGGACTCTACTTCTCCACCAAGCCCTGCTAAAATTAGCTGGGGATTCAGAAAGTTTTGGCAGGCACAGAGTTGCACAAAGCTCAGTAACTCTGGCACCAAGCTCATGTTGAACATCAGAGTCTGAGGTTGGTGCTTTGCAGAAAGATTAATGTTCAGTAGCAGCACCCTAGATGGATAAATGAAATAATCCAAAGCCCCTCACTGATGCTGAGAATCACTCCTGGATGTTGAGAGATGCTCAAATGAGATGCAAAGCAAATCCACACTAGCCTTGCTGTCCCAGAGGAGAAGGGGCAGTGGGGGTATCACTTCTTCCTGGGGACGTGCTGGCAGAAATCCTGGAGGTGATCACTTTGTCGCCCCAGGGCAGAAGGAGAAGCCAAGCCCAACAGGATGCTCATCCCCTGCTTGCGCGGGGCATGGTGAGACCGCAGTGCTTCCCAGCTTCGTTCTCTGCTCCTCCGTCCACAGATGAACTGCAGTTTTAACTGCCACCGCCCCTGTTCCACTGTCCAGCCCCGGAGCCCCGGTACGGAAACGCTGCCCGCCAGGGCTGGTGCGGAGTCAGGCGTGGAGCATCCCTCCTCTGGCGAGCGGCCGGCGAGCTTCCAGTACCGGGACCCGCCCGCTCGAGGGAAGGGAAACTCGGCAGCCGCACACGATGGTCCTGACCCGGCAAGCTGCCCACCCGGAGAAGCTGCCCTGCTCGGACCAGCAGTTACGGCTGAGCGGAGTATCCTTAGAGGGCATCCCAGCCCACCCCGCCTCTCTCCGCTCCCCGGGGCTGGTGGAGGGCGCCTTTCACCGCGGCGCGCCCGGGGAGCACCGCCGTGCCGGGGCAAAGCGCCGTGAGGGAACGGGGCGGCGCTGCCAGCTCGGAGTCCCCGGCGGGCGGCTGGCGGGGACAGGGGGAAGGCTGCTTTCCTTCCACACGTTAGATCAAAGCAAAGGGAAGAGGGGGAAAAAAACAGTCCCAGAGTTTTAAAGCAGCAGCTCCCCTGTGGCCGCTTTCCCCCGACACAACTTACCATCGTGTGAAAGGCTGGCTTGACCTCCCCCCCACACTTTCCAGCCCACAGTTACAGGGTGCGAAACAAATAACCCCCGAACGCCCGATACTCGTTGTGCCGAGGCACAGCCCTGTCCAAGCGAGCGCGGCGCGCCAGCAAGGAGAGTTTCGCTGGGCGGGGAGGCGAGGAAAGCAACAAACTGGAGCTTACCGTGGGAAGCGAGCAGGCAGAGGGCGGCGAGCAGCAGCCCGAGCCTGGGGGCTGCCGACTCCATCGCGGCTGGGGCCGGGGATCGCTCGGCTCCGCGGAGCCGCCCGCCCGCTCTGAGCAGCCCCGCAGCGCCGGCAAGGCTGGCACACACAGGAAATTTCATTGAGACACTGCGGAGAGCTGCGAGCACCCCCAGGAGGTGAGATGCGGCAGGGCCCCGCGGGGGGGTGACACTTCAGTCCCACCCGCTTGGTCTGCTGGGGTTTCAATTACAGAGTCGGAGGGGGTAGCTTAGAGCAAGCTCGTCTCCTGCGTGCGTTTTCAGGGTGTACAGGAGGTAGCTGAGGAGGATGCTCACCGTGCCGGGGACATGTAGGTGCTCAGTCAGGAGGGGCTGGGTGCTGGTCCTCATCCGTTTCCCGGTGGGAGCAGGTCCCCTGGGGGCAATCTCCAGCTCACTTCACTAAAGTGCACTTTGCTTGTAACTAGAGTTTTTCTGTGTTTGTGAGGATTAAGTGGGCAGAAACCCTTCTGGGATGACAGGAAGGCAGGTACAGGGAAGGGTAACTCAGAGAAGTTCGCGGGAAGAGAACAGAGTTTCACAGTAAAAAGGGGAGCAAAGCATCCCCGTCCTGCAGCCTGTTTACACAGGGGGAGGCCTTTACTCTTCCCTCAAATTGCAAAGCAGCACTGATTAACAAAGGAGCACTGTGGGCTGATTCACAGAGCTGAGCTTCGAATTCAGAAGATACCAACAAAACCTCCATCTGCAGCTAAGGGCCAGTTCTTTTCAGAACAGTGTTCCCTGGGAAGTGAAGCCTGGAGACACATGGAGGTTTGCAAGCCACAGGAAGCTTTGCTTCTAACCTCCTCTGAATTTGGAGCATGCCATGAAATAGAAAAGTAGCTAATTACTGCGTGGCTTCATGGTTTTTACAGCAAACACATTTGTGATGCTGTCACCAAAAATGTAACCCTTGACTAGCCGCAAGAAATTTGTTTCTGGGGAACATGTAGGCGCAAAGTCCAGAGACTCCAAATTGTTTATCATCCTGAGATCCCATATCTAACCCGAACCCTTAGGCAGGGTGGCATGCTCTTGTCACCTCTCTGTCCCCAGGTGTGCTGCCATAGTGACACATCCAGAAGACAGACTTCACTGCCTGTGCAGGGCCAGATACAGCCTGAATAGGGTCAGGAGACAGGCTGAGCCTGACCAGCAGTGAAATTGTGGTCAACAGGTAGATGACAGGGCCTGCAAGAGGTCAGTCTGTTTGTCCAAAATGTTCATTTTTGCTCCTCCCCTGAGCCATGGCAAGCAACGTTTCTGGGTATTTTCTATCCTACCATGTTGTCATAATCAGTAACAACAACCAAGGTGTCCCTAATGTCAAAATGAGGACTTACCATGCCTCCTCCAAAGGCAGTGAGGCATGATGGGGTTCAGCCTCTGGCTTTCCGTCTGCCATGGGCTGCTCCCAGTTGTTACCAGCAATGGTAAAAACTGGGTGAAAAGGAGAGATATTCTACAGAAACATGCTTTGCTTCGGAACAAGGTGTGATTTAATCTCTGTATGTTTATCCCTGTAAAAAGCCATTACTTGAAGATGCATCTGCAGCCATGGCACATTTCATTTTGAGCCCTTCATCCTGTTTGTGTTTCTTAGCAGGGTTGAACCCATGTTGGTCATTGATCTTGGCAGATCCCACCTTCCCAGCCAGCTCCAAGGATTGCAGTGCTTAAAGTGATGTCCCCATATTCCACAGGCTACCACCACAGTGTACGTCACCGTCCTGGATGAGAATGACAACGCACCCACTTTCCAGCAGCAGCTGTATGAGGTGACCCTTGATGAAGGCCCTGCCACACTCAATGCCACGCTCATCACTGTGCAGGCTCTGGACCAGGATGAAGGACCCAATGGCACAGTTACATACGCCATCACTGAAGGCAACATCTTGGGCACATTCCACATCGACAGTGCCACGGTCAGTAAGGTAGCCAGCCCCATCCTGGACATGTCCCTGTCCCACTCCCTTCACTCCTGCCGCTGTCCCCTTGCCTTACAGGGGCAGATTAGCACAGTGAAAGAGCTGGACTATGAGATCAGCCATGGGCGCTACACCTTGATTGTCACTGCCACTGACCAGTGCCCCATCATCTCACGACGGCTGACATCGACCGCCACGGTAAGGACCTGCCAGTGGGATAACAACACCCCAGCCTTGGCAGGGTTGAGCAGTTCTTCACATGAGCAGTCTCACATCTCCTTCCCAGTGGTCACCAGCTGTTTTTCCCAGCTGCAGCCAGTTTGCCCCGTTGCTGTCACTCCCTCATGGTGAGTTTCAGGCATGCAGGCAAGGGATGCTCCTGGGTACATTAGCCCAATTATTTCATCCTGCAAACACACAAACAGGAGAAGTTCCCCAAACTGCTTTTAAGCTGCATTGTGTTTTCTTGGACCTTCTTGCTTGAATGGACAGTAGATAGTTGCTATTGCATTAAGTTCTGTTTCATCTTTAGCTTCTCAGATTATTCATCTGCTTTTAAAAATACTTTTTCATTCCTCTAGCCCTTTTTTTTGTTGATTTTCACTATAACTCTTCCATTTTTTCTGGACCATGGTGCTCAAAGTGTGGGGAGCTCAGACTAGCAGGTGCAAAACACATGTTTTGCAGGAATTGAATAAAGCAATTTTTTGGTTGGTTGGTTGGTTGGTTGGGGTTTTTTGTTTGTGTTTTTGTGACCAAAACCAAAATTTGACAGGTTGTATGGCAAATGTTGTCCATGCCTAGATTGATTTTGGAGTCTGCAGGTGGAAAGGATAGGTTAGATTTTCTATCTGGCTCTCTATTATGGACCATTATACCTCACCCAGATATTAAGCTAAGCTCAAATAAAGAGATAGGTTCTCGAAAGGAGATAAGTTCTTGTGTGTGAAGGAAAAAAAGAGAAACGTTTTTTCTCACTTCTAAAGGGAGATGCTAGTGTGGCAGATTTCCATGGGTAAAGTCCCCACAAGTCAGGCAGCACTGTGCTCCAGCCTGGGCAGATGGGAAGCCTTCAGACGTGTGCATCTGATGCTGCTGGAGATGCTTTCCTGGCCCAGGGAAACTGCAATGGAAACCTTGAGACCTGGGGTGTAACTGCCGACAGGAGCAGCAGCAGCTGACGATGTGCTGAAGGCAAAGGCAGAGCTTTTCCTGCTCTTGGCCCAAGAAAAGACATGAACTTGGAAACCCCTTGAGCAACAAGTACTGAAGCTGGAAGGGATAGGAAACACCCTCCCTACACAGCCCAGGGAGTCTGTGCCAGCACCATATGAAAACATAGCTTTTAGGAGGAGGTTTGGTGATTATTTAAGATCCCAAGTGATGGGGAATCCATCACCGTGATAAGGCATGCCAGTGTTTGTTTGTTCCACTGCTAGGAAACAGCAGAGACTCAGATATACTCTGCTGTAAAAATTAGATTTAGCCAGTAACAAATGCCCATCTGATGGATTTAACTATCCTTTAACTCAGGAGGTCAGAAAGTCCTTAATTTCCAGTATCTTTCTTGTAACCACCAAAGCTCAGCCTTTTATTAGACACTGGATACTCTCATTCTCAGGCAGCATTTCTCCACTGTGTAAGTTCCCTGAAACCAAATGGATAACCCTTTTTGCAATACAGTATAGTATAGGCCTATATAATATCTTCTATGAAGTGCAACTCAGCTAAAAAGCAAGACTCAAGTTTGTTGGATCCCCAGCTTCGCCAGCATGTCTACTCTGTCCTGAAATGTTTTGTACTTTCCCCTTCTGAGATCTGTAGGATTGATTTATAGCCAGCTAAGTGTGTCATAGGAAGGGATGCTGAGCTGGGAAACATTCCAACTGCGTTGGTGGTGGTTTGTGTTGGAATACGGATGCAAGCTGCAAATCTTTTGAAGTTTACTCAGCACTAGGAATGAAGCCCTTGGTGGAGGAAAAGGAGTGAGCAAGTTTGCAGCTGGCTGCAGAGATTGGGTCTCTCTGAACTCATGGCTTTGGTGATCAAATCCATGTCTGTGGTTTTTCTCTATCCAGTCTGGGTTTTGGGATGCGGATATTGAAAACATTTGGCTTTTGTGTTGACTTCCCCGTCGTGGTTGAAAAGGGTCCCACCTGTGTGCAGCTGGAGTTTCATAATGTCACTGTAGGAAGGGCATAATCAGGAATGAGGAGTAACTGAATCTGAGTTTTCTCGAGGACTGTGAGTTGGGTGTTTGGTGAGCCCAGCAAAGCCAGAAATATGGGAAGTATTTTGCAGTGTCACTTGTCCATGGCTTCCCATGCTCCTGACCAGCAGTCTCTTCCATCACTCTCCTCTCACTGCCCTCCATGCTCTCACCCTGACTGCAGGTGCTGGTGAACCTCAATGACATCAACGACAACTGTCCCACTTTCCCGCGGCCCTACGAGGGTCCCTTCGATGTCACGGAGGGGCAGCCTGGCCCACGTGTCTGGACCTTCCTGGCCCACGACGGTGACTCGGGACCCAACGGGCAGGTGGAGTACAGCATCATCGCCGGGGACCCCCTCGGTGAGTGGGGACATGTGGTACTGCCACTCCTCTGGCTGCCCCGTGGAGGAACCTGGCTTGCGGGAGCGAGGGCGGAAGTGTTTCAGCAAAGCCATCCTCCCTCAGAGCCCTCTGCAGATTCAGCCTTTCAACACCAGGAAATCCTATTTTGAGCAACAGGAAACTTAACCTGTTCGTGGCCAGCCAGGGGTTGGCTGGGGCTTGTGCAAGTGAGGGGGAAATCTGCTGAACAATAAAGGCAAACAAAATTTAAAAGGCAAAAATGCAGAAAAAGAAACTGAGCTGCAAGTGCAGAGCCCCCTCCCCTCACTCCTGTGGGGTCTGCAGGGCATTTTGAGCATTGAGTTGCTTTGTAACCCCTGGCGAAGCTGTAGCTCCATGCCCACCAGCACCCCAGAGGAGGTGGCAGCAGAGCCATGGGCATCCCTGGTCATGGGGACATAGGGCTGTCCCTCTGTGAGCAGGTGATAACTTTAGCCCAGAGTGTCTGGAAGGCAGAGCCCAGTCCCATCTCCCACCTGACCCAGCTGCAGAGCTTTCCAGAACAACCAGGACACAACCCCTTGGCTTGGGGCAGTCCATGCCATGTAGCCCACCCTGCTGTGGCCATCTCATGGCATGGGCAGCTGCCTGGGGGCCTGTTGGCTTCTTCAGAAAGGCTTAGTCAAGGCACAGGCATGTCTTACTTGGCTATTCAACCCATCCCCTGCTCCTACTGGTACTTGGGGATGCATCCAGGATAGTCCTGGCTGCCACAGACCTCCCAGATCTGCAATACCAGGGTATGGTGTTGTGCCAAACCTGCCGTGGTGCCTGTCCCCTGACTCCAAATAAGCCATTCCCTTAAAAAACGGGCCACTTGCAGCAGCATGGCTTGAGGCAGGGCCCCTCTGTCTCCGGCAGGGGAGTTTGTAATCTCCCCGGTGGAAGGGGAGCTGCGGGTGCGGAAGGATGCTGAGCTGGACCGTGAGAACATCCCCTTCTATAACCTCACCATTGCTGCCCGGGACCGGGGGGTGCCCCCCCTCAGCTCCACGGTGAGTACCCTGGAGCAGTGTAAGGAGCCGCAGGGCGCCATCTCCCATCCTCAGCTCCTTCCCCCTGGTCTCTTCCTTCACTCTCCTCTCTTCCTTCTCCTTCCCCTTGTTCCTGGGGCTTTCCTCCCCCAAACCATAGTAGGCTGAGTGGGGAACCCCACCTCTTAGCCAGGGAGGGGGCAAAAAAATGATAGGAGGGATGAAAATATGTGCCATGTGGCTGCACTGTTTCTCTCCCTGCAGATCCTGGTGGGTGTCCGTGTGCTGGACATCAATGACAATGATCCTGTGCTCCTCAACCTCCCAATGAACATCACCCTCAGTGAGAACGCCCCTGTCTCCAGTTTCGTTACCCGCATCCTTGCCCGGGATGCAGACCAGGGGCCAAACGCTCTCCTGACCTTCGACATAACAGCAGGCAACACAGAGAATGCCTTCTACATCAACAGCACTGTATGGCTCCAGGGGGGTGGAATGCTGGGACATGGAGGGTGGGCACCCCTGTACCTAGAGTCCTGCCTTCCCTGGGCACCCATGGATGCTTTCTAGCATCCTTGCCCCAGCCAGAGGTGTCCTGCGGAAGCACTCCTCTTGTCCCTTGTACCTATTTCCTCCCTTTTTTCTTGGTAGAGTGGCATTGTGTATGTAAACCGCCCACTGGACCGGGAGCAGGTGGCGGAGTACAGGCTGACCGTCACAGTGAAGGACAACCCTGAGAACATACGCAATGCCAGGCGGGTAATTATGGACACTGCCAGGGCCTCCAGCAGTGCAGGTGGCAGGGCAGGTGGGAGAAGGGGCTCCTGCCGTGGCCAAAAACAGGCGGGAAATATCCCCAGTATTTACAATAGAAGCTACATCCCTTAAAAAACATCGGGGGGGGGGGGTTACAAAGATGGGGCTGTAAACCCTTCCGCAGCAGATAACTGGACCAGTAGGATTTAGGGCAAGTCAAACATCCCATGTTGATTCCATGCAACAGCAGTAAACATCACAGAAGGTCAGACAAATTTGGGCTGGAGAGCTAGACAACCACAATGACACCAGAGCATCACCCTTCAAGGTGCAGGCTGGGAAGGGATGCCCAATACTGGGGTGAGGATCCCTGCAGACCCTCCAGGGGTGGTCTAGGGAGCACAGCATCATGGCTGCAGAGGACTCCATCTTTGACCAGCACTAAGCAGGAGGTGGGAGAGGTGGGAGGTGAGCTCAAGGAAAGGACATTGAAGTCATCACTCTCTTGTCCCTGTTTTCCTTTAGGATTTTGACCTGCTGGTCATTTCCATAGCAGATGAGAATGACAACCGCCCTCTCTTCACCCAAAGCTCCTATCAGGCCGAGGTGATGGAGAACTCATCCCCGGGTAGGTCTTTGCCTCCCTGTGTGGCTCCTGGACACTCACTTTGGGGATGGGCAAGGGGAGGTGTCTTCTGGACATCATGAAGGAGACATGATGCTGATCAGGGCCAGGTTGCGCATCAGTGGAATGGGGATGCTGAGTGTGAGGGGGTCCTGCTGACCACCCAGGGAGATCAGCCTTGAGGACACTGTAGCTTTGCTGTTGGTGGAAAACCTTCCTGGCACAGGTCAGGCACAACCTTGCAAGAAATTGTCCCCATTTGGGAGCTGCTTGGCTTCAGACAGCAAGAGGCACCTGCAGTCTGAGCCGAGCCCAGGGGGCAGCCTTGAGGCCATCAATCTGCCCAGCATGCCTGCAGGTGATGGGGTGCCATCCCTCCGTCATCGGTACCTGGAGCCACCTTGTTCTGGCTGTTAGGGATAAAACAGTCCAGCTTGTCAAGGTAGACATTTCCCAGCCAAGGAGTTAGAAATACTCTTCTTTTATTTTTCTTGCCTTCCTGCCATTTAAATTGCTCCCTGCTCCAAGGCCTCAGGTACCTCCCTGTCCCACCATCGAGGGACATCCCAGGCAAAGGGTTTGGGTGCCTTCAGGTGATGCCCTCGGTGGCAGGGTGCTGGTGCTGCCCATCTGACGGATGTGTCTGTCTGTTTGTTTTTAGCTGGATGTCCCTCTGCCTCACCCGGGCCTCACGAGTCGGTCTGCAAGGCTGCAGCAGCTGCCCCCAAATTGCCTCGTGCCCTGCGAGGCCCCACTCTGTCACCTCCTCCATCCATTCATTTCTGTCCCTCATGCACCACCGGGATGGGAGGGGGCTGTGGGAGGCTCCACAGGGAGCTGATACCCTCCCTAACCCTTATTATCCCATCCAGGGACTCTGATCACGGTGCTCAATGGACCCATCCTAGCTCTGGACAGTGACCAAGGCAGCAACGCCATAGTGACCTACCAGTTCTTGGAGGCATCCCTAGACTTCTTTGTTATTGACAACAGGACAGGTGGGTGGCTCATCAGGTCCCTGTCCCCAGCCCAGGACCACCACATAGCAATGGGGTCTGTCAGTGGGCTGTTCCCCTTCTCCAGGTGTCATTTCGGTGAAGCCCGGCAGTGTGATAGACCGAGAGGCTTTACTGGACCCTTGCCTGGAGTACACGCTGGTAGCTCGTGATGTAGGGGGGCTGAACAGCACCGCCAGCCTGGCAGTGACCATCCTGGATGACAATGACAACCGCCCCATTTTCCAGCCAGCATCCATCACGGCACGGCTGTTGGAGAACAGCCCCCCAGGTCAGGAGAGGGCCGGGACTGGGTGTGAGGGTGGGTGACAGGGAGAGTTGGGTGTCCCCCTGGGACTGTGAAGATCCAGCTCCCAGTGTCAGAGCTCACTAGGATGGCGTTGAAGGGAAATCTTAAAAGTAGCCTTCTACATTACAGTATTTGCCTTGGGACTGTGGGCTTATTGCTGCTGCCCTCCTCCCCTCGCTTAAGAGGGCTGTCTCCCCCCCTTCCAGGCTTCTCTGTCCTCCAGGTGATGGCAACGGATGCTGACAGCGGCCTAAACCAGCAGCTGGATTACCGGATTGAAGGTGGTGGCCAAGACAAGTTCCTGATTGACGCCACCACAGGAGTGATCCGCGTGGCTAACATCAGCATCGATCGGGAGGAGCGGGATGCCTATCGGTTGATGGTGGTGGCTGTGGACCAGGGCACGCCAGCACTCTCAGGCACTGCCACTGTCAGCCTCTTCATCGACGACGTCAACGACTGCCGTCCCGAATTCATCAACCCCATCCAGACGGTTAGCATCCCTGAGTCAGCCGCGCCTGGCACCGTGGTGGCTGAGATGACTGCCATTGACCGGGACCTCCACCCTCGCCTGGAGTACTACTTGCTGGAGATCGTGGCCCGCGATGACACAGATGCAATAGTGCCCGGACAGCAAGGAGTGTTTGCAGTGGATTTTAGGACAGGTAGGAGAGCAGGAAGGGCAGTGTGGGCAGCTCGGACCCCTCTCCTTGCTTCTGCTGCTTCTTCTTCTCTGCCTGGAGGTAGGTGTCTGAGGCATGGGGAGATGATGCTCCCCTCCTGCCTCCCCACTCTCTTCCTTTGACTGCTCTGTCTCACCCTGCCCTGTCCTTTCTCCCCAGTCAACTGACTTAACTAACCTGTTTCTTTCCTTTCCGGCTCTCAGCCCACCAGGTTTGTCTCTGTGTCTGTGCTTGTTTCATTCTCTGTGCCATCAGTCACCTCCCTCCATCTCACCCATCTCCATGGCAGGCAGCCCCACTGTGGGCTGGGGGCTGCTCAGCCTTGGCAGACCGGATGCGGGCACCCTCACTGGGGGAGCAGAAGGGGCACTCTGGGGTAGGTGGTGGGCTCTACCCTTGGGGAAGGAGGTCCAGGAGCTCCTAACATCTGTTTTGGAAGCACAGAGCTAACTCAGGAAATAAAAGAACTCTTGTTGGAAGTGATATAGTACAAGACTCTTAAAAGTGCCTGGATGCTGAGCCTGATGTAAATGGGGTCATAGAGGGCAGCGGCAGCAGTTGCTCACAGACCCCTCATCTACACAACCCAAACCTTCACCTGGCTAAGGCAGCATAAGAACCTGTCAGCGGGGCAGCAGGGAGCAGGCAGGAAGGCAGGAGGTGGAAAGCAGGGGGAGGGAAGTTGTCTCCTCCTGTAGCTGTTAAGTGTTTTCCCTGTTTAGCCTTTGGGGAGATGCAGGAGAGCAAGTGCAGCAGAGAATGCAGTAGTTGGCTGGTACAGACCAGTTTGCTGAGGGTCCCCAGTGTGGGGGGTGCAGGCACCACCTGTGACACCCATCTTTTTGGGGTTCCCAGGAGCTGTGAAGATCAAAAGTCCCCTCAACCGGGAACTGGTGGCCACCTACGAGATCACCATCTCTGTCCATGACAATGCCAGTGAAGTCATCGACCGCTCAGTCAGCGTGCCCAATGGTAAGCATGGGCTCTACCCAGGGAGTGCAGGGCCAGGGCTGGCACAGCCTTTCCCAGTGCAGCTTCTGGGTAGCTGGCCGCTCTCCCACCTCCCTCTCCATTCTGAACAGCAACATTTCTAGTGGGACCAGTCTTGGACCAGCTCCCACCAGCTGCAGGTTCTCCTTTAGTGAATGGCCCTGACAAGCCAGGGCTGTACTGGGGATGGAGAGGGCTGTGTGCCCATAACTGTGCCATAGGAGACACCCATTTCTTCATTACTATCTCCATCATGTCTTGCCTGCTCCTAGTAAATTGAGGCCTGCGTGTGAGAAAGCACACAAAAATCAGGAGTAGGTCTGAAGTTGGCATCCCACAGCCAGCTCAGGGCATAGCAGCTTTACCGATTGTATTTTTTCTTGATTAACCAGCACCATTTAGTTTTATGCTTGTATCTTTACAACCTTCTTTTTTCCCATTTTTTCTTCCCTTTTTTTTCTCACTTCTTCTTCCTGTTCTCTTCACCTGTGCTGTCCACCATGGCCACAGCCAAGCTGACAGTCAATGTCTTGGATGTCAATGACAACACCCCCCGCTTCCGCCCCTTTGGCGTCACCTATTTCACTGAGAAGATCCTGGAGGGAGCCACAGAGGGCACCACGCTCATCTCCATCTCAGCAGTGGACCCGGACAAAGGTGCCAATGGGCAGATCACCTACGAGCTGCTGAACCTCTCCCCAGAAGGCTACGCTTGTCTTGAAGACCAGTCGGCAGGTCGGTGGCCTGGGGAGGGGGAGTCTGAGGCAGGTCAGTGGCCTGGGGCAGGTGTCTCATGTCAGGGTCTGACATCCTCTAGGGAAGGTTGTGGCCAACAGGACGGTGGACTACGAGGAGGTGCAGTGGCTGAACTTCACTGTCCGAGCTTCTGACAACGGCTCTCCTCGCAGATCTGCTGAGATCCCTGTGTACCTCCAGATAGTGGACATCAATGACAACAATCCCATTTTCAGCCAGCCGTCCTACCAGGTGAGCTGGGGTCCCCTGTTCAAGTCCATGTGGGGGTGAGCAATGCCTGCCTGGTGAAGTCAGGCATAGAGCTAGGGGATTCTCCAGGGTCACCTTCTCTTCCCTCTGACTGTGCTTGAACCACGTGAAGAAGATGGTCAACCAACCAATGTACTCTGAACTTGTTCTGGGCCCAGCTGTGCCCACCCCGGGTGCCCCCCTGTGCCCTTGGTTACCTCCTGCTAAAAGTGTAAGTGATGAAACATCCAGTCCTGCCTGCTCCCTTTGCTTGCAGAAAGCTGTCTTTGAGGACGTGCCACTGGGTACAGTCATCCTGACGGTCAAGGCCACAGATGCAGATTCTGGGCGGTTTGCTCTCATCCAGTACAGCCTGGGAGACGGAGAGGGCAAGTTTGGGATAAATCCCAATACGGTAAGGAGCCAACTGAGGCTGGAACAGATTGGAGAAAGGGAGGGGAGGCTGACAAGATCCCACCTTGTTCCTTGCTCCCACACCTTACCTTCTGCCCCTTCTCAAGTACCAGCTCTGCCAGACGAGGTCCACCTGAAGGTATTTATGTGCTGCAGGGTGACATCTACATCCTGTCAGCCCTGGACCGGGAGAAGAAGGATCACTACACGCTGACAGCTGTGGCCAGAGACAACCCTGGGGACATCTCCAGTAACCGTCGGGAGAACTCTGTGCAGGTAGAGTTCTCATCCTCCCACCACCCCTTGTGAGGTGGTCACCAGCAAGAAGGTGTTGGACCTCAGACTTTCCTCCTCAGCGGGCCAGTTGGTCTTCGGGAGGAATCAGGCAGAAGGAAGAGCAGATGGCCTCAGGGCTGTGGGGTGGATGGTGCAAGGGAATTTGTGCTGCAGGGACGGCATGTCTGCAGGAGTGGCAGGGGAGGGTGATGCTATTGTCTGCAAGTGCTCTGGTGTGAATGGGTTCCCCAGCCACAGCAGCCCCCATTGTTGGAGGCAGGAATTCAGCTAGCAGAACTAAACAAATAGCAGGAAGGGCACCACAGTCCAGCAGTGTAGCCCTGGGTCACAGCAGGGGTACAGCCTCCAGAGCTTTCCTAGCCATCTCCAGCCTCACGGCACCAGCTGGCTGTGCTTTGTCAAAGGTGCTGATCACAGTCCTGGACATCAATGACTTCAGGCCCCAGTTCAGCAAGACCCAGTTCAGCACCAGCGTCTATGAGAATGAGCCAGCAGGGACATCCGTGATCACCATGACTGCCACAGACCTGGATGAAGGGGATAACGGCATCGTGACCTACAGCATTGAGGGCCCCGGAGCTGGTAGGTAGTGGTGGTGGGGTGCTCCTCCCCAGGAAGGAGGGTTATGATGAAGAGCAATTGGAGGAGACATAGGGACCAAGCCTACACCCCATGTACGGCAGCTGTTTTGAAGCAAGGTTGTGCATGCACTCCCAGGAGAAAAACCGAAAGCATAGAGCTTTCAGTATTGCTCCACAGTACCCAGTTCCTCATGGTGTGCATGTTATGGCTTCATCCTGCAGCCCACCCTTGCCTTATCCTCTTGTCTCCCCCAGCACAGCAGCACTTTCTATGTAAATGTGTCTTGGAGCAAACTCACTGCACACTTCAGAGTAAAACTAAAAAGGCTAGAAGGTTGTGGGTGGATAGCGATAGTGCCTGAAATGCAGTATATCTCTGCACACTGGGGAGCGATGGGAACCAGGCAAAAGCCAACAGAAATGTACAGGGGAATGGCAGAACATTCACTTTCCTGAGACCCATAGGCTCCTCTGACCACTGCCTGGGCAGGAGTAAAGCATAGCTAGGGGTGGTCTGAGAGCAGGGCCCTTGGCAATAGCGCATATCAGGGATGTGGCAATGGGCAGGGGTGCTCTGAAAACCCTGAGACAATCCACATCCCTGTCCTCAGATGGGCAGCTCTGTTGCATCACCCCTTGATGGGGATTTCCCAACAGTGAGGGGTGTGCTTCAGCTGGTATACTGGTTTCTGACTATAATTTGTCTGGTGCAAAGTGTCCTGAGCCAGAGATGTGGGGTTTTTTTCCTCCCAGAGGCTTTTAAGATCAATAAAGACTCCGGGCTTGTCACGTCCCGGCGACGCTTGAAGTCCTATGAGAGGTTCAACCTGACCGTGGTGGCCACGGACAAGGGGCATCCCCCTCTCTGGGGGACTACCATGCTCCACATTGAGGTCATCGACATCAATGACAACCGTCCTGTCTTTGTCCGCCCACCCAACGGCACCATCCTGCACATCAAGGAGGTAAATCCCTTGAGAGATAGGGGAGGTAATGACATGACAAGACCATTCCCAGCAGTCCTCCTGCCTACCAGTGGCAAAATCCAATCTCCATTTCCACCAGGGGTGAAACAAGACCTTGGTTTAACACGTGGCAAGAAGGTCATGGGGCTGGACCGTCAGCAGCAGCCCCTCTCCATATGTGTGAGCAGGGGTGCTGGGGCAGCTCTGGGGAACAGAAACCCCAGCAGCATGCAAAATAAGTAAACAGTCGGTCACTGCGGGACAAGCCTGTTTATAATCAAGGGCAAAATGCTGACATTTAAGATGTTTCTTCTTTCTGGGAAGTCAGGCTTCGCTAAGCAAGTCCCCAGCGTATACATAGAGGAGCCACCATGCAAAAATGGAATCATGGTCTCATGTTACCAGTCTCCAATTGGATTTTGGCAGTGGGAGCTTGCTGATCCTGATGCAAGGGGGTTTGGAGGGGTAGGGGGAGCAGGAGGCTAGCATGCAATGCTGGGGCTGAAGGGCTGCATATGTGCAAACAGGAGATCCCCCTGCGGTCCAATGTCTACGAGGTCTACGCCACGGATAAAGATGAGGGCCTCAACGGAGAGGTGCTCTACAACCTGCTGAAAACTGGGGCAGGGAACAAAGACTGGGAGTATTTCACCATCGACTCGGTCAGCGGGCTGATCCAAACGGCCATGCGGCTGGACAGGGAGAAGCAGGCGGTGTACAACGTGAGCTGGGCGGCAGCACAACTGCAGGGTGGCTGGGAAGGTCCTCGAGGCGGTGGGTCTGGTGCAGGCCTGGTGGGATGCAAATGATGTGGTGGGGATGGGGTCAGCTACCACAGTTGTGAAGATGCCATAACTTAGCAGGAATTGGGTTGTTATCAAGTGCCATCAGAGAGTTGAATCCTGGTGGGCCCACTCCCAATTCCCTGTTAAATCCCCACAAAATCCTCTGTCCCCCAGCTGTTCTCACTGTTCCTACCTCAGCAGTGTCTCCTGCCCCGTGTGGTTTTGCCCAGGATCACCCTTTTGCCTCTCTCCACAGCTGATCATCGTGGCCTGCGACCAGGGACAGCCAGCCTACGAGACCATGCAGCCCCTCCAGGTTGCGCTTGATGACATTGATGACAACGAGCCCCTCTTCCTCAGGCCACCTGTAAGGTGCCAGGATGAAGGGGTTGGAATATAGGGCATGCAGGGATGGGGGTGTCAGCGAGCATGTGTGGTAGAGCATGCACTGCTGGGTATCATCTTGGTGGGGAGCATGAGCACTGCTGGGCCTCATCATGGTGGGGAGCATGATGGGATTTGTCCAATTTTTTTTAAAGCCAGCTCAGTTCTCATGATCCTCCCTTCTCCTGGGGTCTCTGGTAGAAGGACAGTCCCCAGTACCAGGTCCTCTCCGTCCCGGAGCACTCACTGCCAGGCACTGTGGTGGGGAACGTCACCGGGGCGGTGGATGCAGATGAGGGCTCCAATGCCATCGTCTACTACTTCATAGCAGGTGGGTGCCAAGTGGGGAGGCAATGGGAAGCTCTTTGTCTCCTTGTACAGTCCTCACCAAGGGTTTCTGTCATTTCCATCATGTCCTCGTTGCCTTTCTGCCCTGGTCGGTGGGCGAGGTGGCATTTCAAAAATGCTGAGCCCAAAGGGGACTAACAGGGTACCCCTTTCTGCACTCAGATGGGAACCAGGAGAACAATTTCCAGCTGAGCCGAGAGGGGAAGCTAAAGGTCTTGCAAGACCTGGACCGGGAGAAGGAGCCGTACTACTCCATCATCGTCAAAGCATCCAGCCAGAGGAATTGGACCCCTCCCCAAGGCCAGCAAGCAGGCAGAGCCCAGCTCTGGGATCTTAGTGGGGATCTGACCCTTCAGGAGGTGCGAATTCTCCTGGATGACATCAATGACCAATCCCCTCAGTTCACCAAGTCAGAGTACACAGCGGGTAAGGGGTGCTGGGATCTGGGGGGAACCAGGAGCCAGTGGTGCTCTGGGTAAAATTCCAGCCACATGAAGGGGTAGTGAGAGCCAGCCTGGCCCCAGGTCCCTGTCCTGTCTCTCTCTCAAAGGGGTTGCCACTGATGCCAAGGTGGGATCAGAGCTGATCAGAGTGGTTGCAGTGGATGCCGATATAGGCAATAACAGCCTGGTCCTGTACAACATCTTGGGCATCCGCTACATCAAGCAGCACTCCAATGACTCTGAGGAGGTGGCCAACATCTTCACCATAGGTGCGCTCCCTGCATGCCAGAGACATCCCTGTGGCCAAAGACATCCCCATGGCCAGCATCACTAGTCTTGGGCTTGTGACCGTTCTTCCCCCAGGAACCCTTGATGGGATCCTGCGAACCTTTGACCTCTTCACGGCTTACAACCCTGGCTACTTTGTGGTGGACATCATGGCCTCTGACCTGGTGGGCCACAACGACACAGCCATTGTGGGGATTTACATCCTGCGAGACGACCAGCGGGTCAAGATCATTATCAACGAGATCCCAGACAAAGTCAGGCAGTTCGAGGAGGAGTTCATCAGCCTGCTCTCCAACATCACGGGTGCTATTGTCAATACAGATGACGTGCAGGTAACCATCCACCTTTGAGGTTGTTTTGAGGGGTAGATGACCTTCCACAAGCTGCTTGGAAGGTATCCTTTGAGGGTGCCCTGCCTGTATAAACCATAGAAACCCATGAGCTCTGAAGGTCCTCATACACATGAGGCTGGGGCATATCAAAGGGGTCCAAACCCATGTCATGCTTGAGGGTCTCTTATCACATGAGCGCACTTCAAGGCATGTACGGGAGATGCCCCCTGAGGAGACACCTCTCCCACAGTGCAGACCTTGCTGTCTCTCCCCAGTTCCATGTTGACAAGAAAGGTCGGGTGAACTTCGCACAGACAGAGCTGCTGATACATGTGGTGAACAGGGAGACCAACCGCATCCTGGACGTGGAGCGGTATGTCACCCGGCCTGTCACCCAGCCCACATCCTGGCCCACTGGGTCCTTGGGGAGCCTCATTAATGTCAAGATGCCCAAGAAAGCCTTCTCTTCCCAGGGTGATTCAGATGATAGATGAGAACAAGGAGCAGCTGAGGAACCTCTTCAGGAACTACAATGTATTGGACGTGCAGCCCGCCATCACTGCCCAGGCCCCAGATGACCTCTCAGCTCTGCAGGTAATGGTCCAGCTGGAGTGGTGATGGCTGCTGCTTGCAGGTGGGGCAATGATGTCCCATCCCATCCCATCCTCCATGGCCCTCCGTGATCTGGGGATATGTTTCACCCAAATAATTTCAGGAGGGTGCCCATCACTGGGTACCAGAGGTTGCCACTACCCCTTTGCTCTCCTAGATGGTGATCATTGTGCTGGCCATCCTGCTCTTCCTGGCTGCCATGCTCTTCATCCTCATGAACTGGTACTACCGGACAGTGTGAGTAACCCCCAGGCTCTGCCTCACTGGCCAGGGGGACCCATGTAGCTGCTCCCAGCCCTGACAATGCCAGTAAACAAAGGAGGTCATCAGCTTCCCAACACATTCTGTGCCACGATTCAGCCTAGTTCAGAAATTGCCCCTCTTCCCCTAGAGTATAATGGTTTCAATACTGATAGCAGGTCTTCCCCCCCCAAGCATGCCGTCCTTATAGATACAGGGGCTGTTTGCAGGGTTATTGCAAATCTGTGTCCCCCCCTCCTTTGGAGCATCTTTATTTTCTTCCCTGATCCGCTGTATTTCCTTCACAGGCACAAAAGGAAATTGAAAGCCATAGTGGCTGGCTCCACTGGTGAGCAGTGTTTGGGGTTTTCCAGATGCATGAGATAGCAGGGTGCATAAAGAGCATAAAGGGGATGACATGGGGGATGTCTGTGGGGTGTAAATTCAAAGTGATCCTGCCCAGCAAGGCCCATGGGTGGGAGGCTTTTCTCAGCTTCCAGGCTCCGCATTACCAGCTGCATCCCAGTATGGTTCTCATGCCACCAGTGCCTTTCTGGTCACTGAATTTCCATCCCCGATAAAGAAATGCTGCCCTATGGTTTACTGCTCTGCCCACCAACATGTCGCTCTTTAACTCCCGTCCCTGCTTCTTTCAGGAAACAGAGGTTTCATGGACATCATGGACATGCCAAACACCAACAAGTACTCCTTTGATGGGTGAGTTCTTCCCTTCCTTCCCCTCCCTGGTTTGCCACCTTGCAGGATCACATGCTGCTCCCAAGAGAGGGTTGCCTGCATTTTGTAGCCAGAGATGCTTGGGATGTGGAGATGCTGTACCTTTCTGCTTTGCAGAGGGATGCAGCCAGGCATGCCATGGCTGCTTGCCTTGAGAGCTTTCAAAGCCAAAAGACCTTGTGCTTTCTCCTGTGGCTCTATCTCTGCCAATACTGGCCAGGCTTGGGATAAGCAGAGATGACCAGTGGGTGTCGACACACATGTGGATCCAGACCAGCCGAATTCATGCCCCCACACGGCAGGAGGAGGCAGCACAACCTCAGCATCCGAGCTTTGGATAGGGTTACGGATGGTGCGGCTCCTTCCTTGTGCTGAGAGCTGCTCCTCTCCCCTGGGCAGGGCCAACCCGGTATGGCTGGACCCCTTCTGCAGGAACATGGAGCTGGCAGCACAGGCAGAGCACGAGGATGACCTGCCGGAGAACCTGAGTGAGATCACTGACCTCTGGAACAGCCCTGCCCGCACCCACGTGAGACACGGCCCCCACAGGACCCCTCCATGCTGCACCCGAGACCCCTGCCTCAGCTGCTCTCTCCTCCCACAGGGGACCTTCGGGAGAGAGCCCTCTGCGGCCAAGCCCGAGGATGACCGCTACCTGCGGGCAGCCATCCAGGAGTACGACAACATCGCCAAGCTGGGGCAGATCATGCGGGAAGGGCCCATCAAGGTGAGTGTTGAGCGTGGGCATCTTCCACCCAGGGGTCTTCTCCAACTGCTACAGCTTCCAGGTTGACAGCTGAGGTGCCGGAGGGTGTTGCTTCATGAAATACTGGGATGGGGTCAGCCTCCCTCCAACCAAGCGGTGTCCCTCGGGTAACCCATCATCTCTCCCCCTCCACCCAGGGCTCTCTGTTGAAGGTGGTCCTGGATGATTACATGCGCTTGAAAAAACTCTTTGCCCAGCGGATGGTGCATAAGGCCACCGCCAGTCAGGGGGACCGCTCCTCGGTCTCGGAGGTAGACGTGGTGTGCATGGGCATGGGGAGATGCTTGCCGTGCCCTCTGGGATGCAGTGTGTCTTCTCAGCCCTTCTCAGTCGCTTCCTGCAGCTGTGGTCCCTGTCACTCAGTGGTCTCCCCATTCTCTGCTTGGCCAAAACAAGCCAGACGCTGGGTTTCCACTGAGGCTGCTGGTTCCCCACAGTGCTCCAGCTCTCGTATCCCTCTGAGCATCAACAGCACCTTATCCCTCGGTCTCTGGGTGGGCTCTGTCCATCACCTCCTGTCTCTCTGCCAAAGGTGGCCATGAAGCTGCAGGTCACTACACACATGCAGGAGCACCTTCCCTCCCCTGTGCTCCTCTGAGCTTATCAACCTAACAAGTTCTGAGGCAAAAAGGCTGGGACAGAGGGTTTGGTGCAGCGGGGCTGGTGAGGGGAGAAGCAACTCCTCTTGCAGCCTTCCCCTTCTTTATGGGAGGCAAAACATGGGGCATACAGAGCAGAGGAGAGCAGAAGGATGGGAGACACCCTTTCAACCCTTCTGTCCCCTTATCCCTCCTCACCCTTATCTGCCTCCAGCCTCCCTTCAACTCCTTTCCTTGTCTGCCTTCTGCCCCATACAACCCCAAACCCCAACCCGGGTCCAAACTCCCCTTTGGCTGCTGCGGGGGCTGCTGCTGGACACACCACCTGGCTGGCAGCTGGTGCACCCACCAGATGAGTGAGCGATCTGGCTGGAGACCATCATCGCGCTGGTGGTCCTCATCAGCACACTTCAGAAGAGGAGGGTACTGTCCCTCCCACTGAGCTCCAGCATTGCAGACGGTTTGGAGGCAGGAAGCAGGACCTGCTCTGGACACGGTAGTGATTTCTCTGCTCCATGGACTTTTTACAGCTGATCCAGAAGGAGCTGGAGGAGGAAGAGGAGGAGCGCAGCCCCAGCCAAGGCAGCCTCCGCTTCCGTCACAAGCAGCCGGTGGAGCTGAAAGGTCCTGATGGCATCCACGTGGTGCACGGCAGCACGGGCACACTGCTCGCCTCTGACCTCAACAGCCTACCCGAGGACGACCAGAAGGTGCTGGGTCGCTCGCTGGAGACTCTGACCACTGACTGCGGGGGCTACAGTGACCACAATGCCCGCACCGAGTCGGCCAAGTCCACCCCCCTGCACAAGATGCGGGAGGCGATCATGGAGAGCCCTCTGGAGATCACTGAGTTATGACGAGCAGTGCTGGTGGTGGTGCTCCTCTAGGCAAGCTGGGGCCGGCGGGGTTGAAGCACAGATCAGGGGGTTGTGGTGAGGGCCAGGGGTACCCCAAGACCAGTGCTTGGCCCCCCCTTCCCCTGCACGAGTCCAGGCCAACCGGTGCACATAGCTCCGGCAGCCTTGGAGAGCTTGGCCCCAGGAAAGGGCTCTCAGGACTGGTATGCTTTTACTCGCCTGTCATTTATCCATGAAAGCATTATTTTTTTTTATTATTTTTTCTTATTAAAAAGGGGTTTTTTTAAGAAAAAAAAACAAAAAAAAAAGCAAAATGAATCCAATGAGTCCAGGCTGGACAGGGGTGAAGGTGCAGCAAAGGTGCAGATGATGTGCCGCATCCTCGGGTGCGGACTGGGGACAAGCAGCCATCATACCTCAACCACAGGCACAGGGAGGGCCAGGCAGCGTGAGGAGAGGCCAAGTCCATTTGGCATTAACGGCACCTTTCCAGCAAGGAAAGACCCAGAAAAAAACCCAAACCAAACCTGAAAACTTTTCTCCATTTTGCTGGCTTTACCAAAACATGTTGCGATGTTGAAAGAGACTGACAATAACTGGGGCTTCTGGATGTGGAGTGCTCGTGCGTGTCTTTTCTTGCCCTTTTCTTTCCCCTTCTCTCTTTATTTTGGGTTCATTCGTTTGGGGATTTGTTTCCAATCGTAACCTTGTGGAGAGTTTCGGGCACGATCTGTTACGGGACTCAGAAATACACTGTCTATGGCTTTGGGTAACCTGTCTGTTGTCCTTCCTCCCTGATCACATTCCTGGATTCAGCTTACTCAAGAGACCTTTTGAAGAGAAAATACCCTTTTCCCTTTAATTCACCCCTCAACCCATCACCTTCACAAGATACTGCCCCAGGTTTTGCTACACCCCAAATTTGGGGGGAAGCATTAAACCGCCCACAGCTTACACACCAGGAGAAGCAGGAGGGAGACAACCAGCTGCGCTCATGGGAAGAGTTTATTTTCAGTGAGATGCTCCCATGCACGCTCAGGACTGGGCACTGCGGGCATCTCCCTCCTGCAGCAGGGAGGGACAAGCCAGTGTCCCGCTGCCCCTCTCTACCACAGATGGGTCAGCACAGGGCACCAGAAAGGATGTGTGGGTGAAAGGGACTGTTTGCCCCCAAACTCAGTCATTTTTTGTTCAGGGAATACTTAAGGTATGTATATCTGTAAATTTAACCCACTGTGTTTCTTTATAGGGCAAGAGGGGGATGGGAGGTGTAAAAGAAAGGCACACCAATTTGAAGAGGGACCAGCAAAGTGCTGGGCTTGCCAAAAGCTGACAAGACCTGTGGTGTGAGGCTGCTGGCTGCCAGCTGCCCGGAGTTGGCTAGCATTTGGGCAGCAGAAACCATCCCAGCCTGTTCACGTTGTAGGATCTGGGTCTTACAAGGGGGGTGGGGATAGACGTGGGGATGGGGATTTCACAAGGACTCTGAGAGACAAGGCTGAATCCGCAGTCCTGAAAATACCAGTGAGTCCCTTAACCCGATTTAGAAATCCAAACCGCAGGGTTGGAAAAGGAAGTGGCAGAAGTGGCTGGGTCACCCCACAGCCCCTGCCGGGATGGTCAGGCTGGTGGGCTCCTGCCATTGCCATCCACGGGTGCAGGCGCATCCCAAGGGAGGGTATCTGGGATCCTGAACCAAAACAGCAGGGCAAGCACAGCCAGCCGAGCAGGTGACTCCTAGTTCCATAGGTGACGCCGGCAGTGCTCAACAGCCTGTGGGAGAGACGGGGAACGATGATGGTGGGAGGCAGGGTCTCCTGGCTCACTGCAAACCCAGGGGAGGGGACGTGGCCAACACTTACCTGGCACTCGATCGCTGTGGCCATGTTCTTGCACCAGTATTGCGGGCCCAAGGCACAGAGGTCTGAGCCCAGGAGATCCTCCTCGGATGAGTCACAAGCTTTTATTTTCTGTATGGCAAAGGAAAAGGGTGGGAGGTGGAAGAAGAAAACCCATGAGCACACTTTTATCCCACTCCCAGAGCCCCAGGCTGGGACACAGGATGCCCACCTGGGTGGGTTGGGGCTGCCCCAGGAACACTTACAGTGCAGACGAAGGTGGGGTCCATCATCTGCACGAAGAGCCGCACAGCCTCCGGCTCGTACTGCTCCACGAGCGCTTCGCACTGGGAAGGAGAGAGGGGTGAGCACAGCGAGGGGCGTCGGGGTGTCCCCACCGGGCGGGCGCTCCCCGCAGCTCACCGTGCCAGTGAGCGGTGCGGGCAGCAGCTCGCAGCCCTTCTGCAGCATGTCACCCAGCTCCACCAGCGTCTCGTTCTTCAGCAGCTCATTGTCGAAGTACATGATGATGATCTGGCAGACGTTGCAGAACGCTCCCGCGCCCGTTGCCAGCTGCTCCAGCATGGCAGGCCCTGCGGGACACAGCGGGGCCTGTGTTAGCAGTGTTAGCACCCCTCTCCCCAGGGACACGGTGCCTGGGTGCCACCCGGGCCCCCCAGCTCACCGTGGCGGGTGTCCCCGCTCCGGGGGCAGCAGCGCAGCATGGTGCAGACAGCCGCTGGGTCGGTGGCCTCCAGCAGCATGATGACCACGGCTTTGCCATAGGAGTCAACGAAGTCCTTGCACTGCCCGATGACGCTGTGGGGCAGCATGTAGCACACCTTCTCGATGTCGTTCACCAGCTGCTCCTGCAGGGAGAAGGCAAGCAGAGGGAAAACCCCACTCCTTGCTGCCCCCTTTCCCAGTGCCCCCATCCCTGGACAGCAGCAGCGGAGCTCACCTCCGTCACGTTGTTCTCCAGGAGACTCTCAGCCGCTTTCACAGCAAATTGGCACATCTCACACAGCGGAGTGGTCCCCTCCCTGTCCTGTGGGAAAACCAGTGGGATGCACATCGAGCCCGCCCAGCGCTGCCCCCATCCCACCCAGCCATCAACCCCCACAAAAGGTATTTCCCACCTTGGAAAAATTGAAATGCTTTAGGGGAAAAGAAAAAGTGAAATAAGGCTCCTCCTTCCCAGCACTTGGATTTGAAGGAGCATGTTTGAGTTGTGAGGGGTCCCCGCTTACCCACAGCGTGCTCAGGACCTGTATCATCTTCTCTGTGAGCAGTGTGTGGAGGGGCAGCACTGAGGAAGAGGAGCAGAGTCCCAGGTGGCCACACAGCTCCATGGGGTCCTGGGGAGAGACGTCTTAAATCGGGTGGGCATCACCCCCCAGGAGGGCGAGTCTGTGCCCTCAGTTCCCAATGGAGGGTGATTTCAGCCAGTTGGGGCATGGGTCTCGCTTACCTCAGCCAGCTGCCGGTGGAAGGACCAGAAAATGGCAAGAAAAAGAGAGAACAATAAGGAATTACAACAGTTGTAAGCTGGAGAGAGGGGAAAACTATTTGTAGAGATATAAAGCAGTGGGGTTTAACTAAGAAGACAAGAGTAGGGCCTTGCACTTGCTGATGGGGTCCCCTTGGCTGTGCTGCTTGGGACTCCCCCACCAGCACCCACCCATCCCTGGCAGCCCCAGGGAGTGAGCTGCTCACCCACTTACCATGTACCGGAGCAGCCGGACAGCAGTGTCCATGTACTCGGCCAGGTAGTGCTTGCACTGTGTGGGGAAGACACGGTGTCAGCACCCAGGGGTGGACGGACACCCCCCCACCCTGCCCACATCACAGTCTGCCGGGGAGCTGCCCAAAAGCTGCAGAAGATGCTGGCATGCCCAGCATGACAACAGCACCCTTACCTGCTGTGCCAGGTTGGGTGTCAGGCCCTCACATGCCCACTCAGTGCGGGTCACCAGCGCCTGAGTGAAGGCAGCATTGGTCCCCAGCTCCAGCTGCACAGCGGCCACCAGCCGCAGGCATTCCTCACACACCTCTTCCTTCTCCTGTGGGATAACATGGGCAGGAACACATCAGTAGATCCCAGAAGTAAAACTGAGTGGCCCCAGTGCCTCCATTTTCCAGGCTGGGATGTAAATGCCTGGTCTCAATCTGAGGCAGCTTTTTGGCCAGCATTTGTCTGGTCCCAACCCTGCCTCCTGCAATATCCCAACCCAAAACTGGTGACAGCCCTAACCAGGTGCCATTTCAGCCGTACAGTAAGCTTAATGCTTTTTACAAATGATTGTGAAGTAGGTGCTGCTTCGCTGATTCTCATCCTTGAGCAGCATCAATGGCATTCCTGCCCGTGCCATAGTACCTGGGCCTCACCGCGAGGCAGGTCCTGGGGATGCAGCAGGAGGGGCACGTTGGCAATGAAGGGGGTAACCAGGTCAGCAAAGTCCTGAGCAGGGCCGGCAGGGGCTGGTGGTGGTTCCTGAAACTTCAGGGCTCCTGTGGGGCTCTCCCGGGGCTGGCACAGCCTGATGGTCCCACACACCACCTTCGGGTCCGCCTGGGGGAGCAGAGGGATGGGGGCTTGCGGCTGCATCTGCCCCATCACCCTCCTCCCTTCAGCCACCAAGCCTGGGTCATTTCCATCCCCACCTCACTTCCATGGAGGTTTTGTCCCAGGCTCCAAGCACCTCCCTTGCTCTTCAAGCCCTCAGGATACCCCAAACCATGGGTAAACACAAACCCAAAGGGGTCCCCACCAGTTACCAGCACTTGCTTGCCCAGCTGGACGAGGATGAGGATGCCGGTGTCCACCATCTTCTTGCACTTCACAGACCAGTCCTGGAAGGGCAGGTACTGGCACTTCTTATCCAAGAAGAGCCGCAGCTTTTCCTAGGTGATAAGGGGAGAGCTCAGGAACAGGTGGCCCGTGACACGCCAGAACCACACACTCCATGCCAGGCTGTGACCCACCTCAGTGCGGTTGTCCTGCAGGATCTTGCCTACCACAGAGACTGCCATCTGGCATAGGTGACATGGGATTCCCTTCTGCTGAGAGAGGGGACACAGCGGATGTTGCCATGACACCCAGACCCACCACTTGCTCCTCAGATCCCAAGCCAGATCTGTTTCTGATCCCCCCAGAAACACCCCACCAAGGGGCACTTGGGAATACCCTGGAGCACCAGTTGTTTTTTGCTGCTCACCCTGCAGACATATTGCTGCCTGACACCATCAGCCAATGCTCCTCTGGGTGCGCAGCACTGGGCCGGCCAGGCTGGGATTCTCCCCCCAGCCCCACATTTGGAGTCAGGATGTCATCACTCCATGCCCCTGCATCCCTGACTCCTGGCACAGTTACCCCCACAGCCTGGTCCCAGACGGAGATCTGGCAGAGCTGCAGCGTCCCACACTTGGCTGCTGTCACCACATCGCGGCACCAGTCCTCCGGCCGCTCGCTGCACTCGTGGAGGGGGCTGGCCCCAGCTTTGCAGGGGAGGAAAGAAAGCCATCAGTGCCCCAAGAGCACCCCAAGACCATCTCTTGCCTTGCACCAACCACTCCACCACCCTGCCCCGCAAGCTGGGGCGATGCTCTTCACCCTCCCACTGTGATTCACCCTCAGCTTTCGCAATGGTGGTGCGGTTGCTGGGTTTTCTAAGTGATTTTATAAGCCCAGCAAACGCAGGCCTTGCCAGGCCAGCGAGTGCTGCCAGCAGTGTGTCACAGCAGCTTTGGGCCCATGCCAAAGGCAAAGCGAACCTGGGGATCATCACCCTCAGCCTCACGGCACCCTTCAACTCGCCGGGGAGGCGGCTGCTCATAGGAAGGTCAATAAATGCTGCAGAAGGAGCCATGCGGGGTGCCGGCACACAGCAGCCGGTTACCCACGCCGCGGCTCTCGGCAATGGTTGAGCAACCCC